ATTCTCAACAGGGGATTGAATCCTGTGAAAGCGGCGACCCACACATCGTCGCATCGCCCAGTGATGTAAGAGGCATCGCGGACTGTGGCGAGATTGGTGGAAGATGTTCTTTCTCCCAATTGTTGTTGTTGTTGCGTGTGAGGTTATCTCTAAATAGGCTCTCATAATGTACAATGCATATAATATCTAGAGTAGCTACGTCACATTGAATTGTAATGTGTTTTGTTCTGGACTATAACAGCGAACGATGATGCAGTTGCAACTGGGAATTTTATTTTGATGTATTTTGTACAAGTATTAGATTTCACTAAGTGAATGAAATCATTAAACGCATCAACTGTAAATAACATTTATTCATGGTTAAATTATATAAACATCCATAAAATAATACAGCAGACTTACATGTTCATTCAAAACTCTGCAGAGTTTCAAATGTTTGTATAATGCCCCTGCAAACAGTGCAGCAGTTCTCTCCCGCATGACTACCAGCTAAGACGCCGCTCACACACATCACACGTTGAGAGCTTAGTCACAGGGTGCAGCGTTGATCAGTGTCGGTGATGAGAGTGATAAGCCAAGTGAAGGTGCAGCCCTTAAACTGCTTGTTCAATGCCACTGCTGGCGGAAGGGTCTCCACAAGACGAAGCTCTAGAGATCCACAATAGGGGGCATTTGGCCTACTCTTTCACGCCGACCAGATTTCTTGGAAGAGGTTGGGAGTACCCATACCCATACTTTACCCTAAATACATGTTTTGGGATATGTGCGCTAGTACTCTGTGAATTATTATGAGTAGTGTATTCTTGGAAAAGGTACAGCAAGTGTTTTTGGGTAAATGACTATACCATAGTGTAAGAAAGAAAGAGATTTGAGAACAGAGAAACTGAATAGATGCATCAGTGTTAGTAAACAATGAGCATGTAATGCATCGATTAATCCATTAAATGAACCAACATTTACTTCACTATGACAATTATTATTTAAGTAAAGTTGTATTAACATGTTTAATTACAAGAATGATTCAGGCATCTTTCTACGATTGATGAATTTCATCTACGTGTAAACATCTAATAAATAGGGTATACGCATTGTTCACTAATATCACCGAGAAGAGAACAGCACATTTAGAGCCCCTCCAATCACGTGATGAACAAGCAATGTTTAGGAAAGGTTTCTCTACCACTGACCACATACGATTAGATTCTGGACAAGATTAATGAATATTTAAAATACGTAAATTTCCTGCCTTTATAGACCATAAAAAGCAATTTTACTCAGTGGAAATTGATGCATAGAATACCTGCACGTATTTATCATGGGGGGAAAGGGTTATAAAGCACCGACGGATCCCATTACTCAGTTATTATCATTGATGGATTAATTGCGCTCAGGCACAATTTAACAAAAATATATTTAAGCACAAATAACAGCAACAGATAACAATCAAGCCGCAGTGAATCTTTGTCAGAGGTGTACACACTATACACAACATACATTGTGAAAAAACCCAACAACGTTCAAACGTGCAACACTCAGAATAATTAACGTTTGTGCTCAACAACTTGAAAGGAAAAATAATGTTTACACATGGAGGCTCGGGAAAATGAACATTTGCATGCATAGGCTGAGAAAAATGCAGAGTTCGTGTTTTCATAGATGGGTGTGAAAATGGACACGAAATATTACCATAAAAATGAGTGGGTGAGCAAAGGGTATATGCCTTTTGAGGTCACAATTTAACAATCAATTGCACTTGCATTTTGAATTTTACAGTGGATAATACACATTTATGATATGCCGTACTGTGCATGTGTGTGGGTGTGGAGCGGTGGTGCAGTGGTTAGTGCACTGCACGATAAACCCAGCGACCCGAGTTCAATTCCAGGCCTCGGGTACCATCCGTGGCGAGTGATGTCTGAACTAATGCCTGATACCGCTTCGCCAAACGAACCCCATGGTGGACAGAGATTGGAGAGGCCTTCATCTAACAGTACATTGGCAAAGGACTGTAAGTTGTTGTTCATTATTGTAGTACATCTATAAAGTGACCTCATTGAACAAAAAATACAAAAGCAGAACTCATTCTATCTCCACATACTGTATGCATGTAAATATGTTTTAGTCCATCAACTCATTAACTTTCAAGAACACGAATAACAAGATTATCAAATATAATCCAGCAGAAGTGTGGTCACCACATCTACACCTCAATATAAGGAACACAGCTAGTTGTAATACTGGCGAGACGTCGTACTCGCATTGTAAATGTTGTGGCTTGGCTCTCCAACACACCGGTGTGCTGTACTAGTGACGAATTGGCATGTTCTGTTTAAGTGACAACCCTTACGAATTGGCTGTGTCGGGTGGTGGCGGGTTTTAACGACACATTTATATATTTACGCGATCTAACCCAAAAACCCTCTACTATGGATGATATTGGCTGTGCAAGCCGACTAGGTGTTAAACTGAATAATATTGTTAAACAGATGCTGCTGGGTTACCAGACGCTATTGATAAGATCACTCCATCGTATGGGGCCCTGTTCAACACGCACAAAAAATTATTGGAATCAAAAATACTTACAACGTGTACGGCAAAAGTGCGTGCGTTTCCAAGCTAACAAATTGCCTTTACCAACTCATCGTTGACATTGTGAAACCCATATAATTAAATCGGGCACGCGTTTGCCATACGAATCTAATGAGTGTCCACAGTAGTGGCACGCGCAGTTGCACATGCAACGATAATTACGAAGCGGGAACCAGACTGCGGTGGTAATTGCGGACAGCTCTGGGAGACGACGAGACCCATCGCAGTCGGTGCCATCGCACCTCTCCCATCGCCACCCACACGACCCGCAAGCCGCAACCCTCGCGCCTTCCCACTGGCGTGGGTCACGCGCACGCACCTTGGGGGCATCCTGCGGCCCGACTCACGCACCTTGGGGGCATCCTGCGGCCCGACTCACGCATCTTCGCCTCGGTTTGCCGGCACTGCAGTAATCCGGACCACACAAGTCAAAGTGGTATCCTCTTCAATGTGCATTGGGGCGATTCTCATCTCCACTTTACAGTTCTGAGCTCGGGGTGGAAATTCCACATTGCTATGTCAGGGGCGAGTCGATCCATCGGGCAACCGCTGTTGACTCCCCCACACAAAGTGGTGTTTGTTTTATCAGCCCGTGGGGGGTGATCAGTTGTATCGAACCTGGACATTAACTCGCTGTCGTTGCTTGTTTTTTTTCTAGAATATTTTATTTCTTAGCATTGCGTTTAGGAAATAACAAATTCGATCAACTAGGTTCTAAATACATGGCTGTTATCCATTCAATTTGTGCGATATTTTTTTCCCCGAGTAAGTGAAGGTGCGGCGATTCAATTGCGTTATCATTTCCATAGCTCTGTTGACTATTTTATCAGTTTTAGTGAAACTGACAACGTGTACATTAGGAAGAAAATAATTGTTCAGAGCGATGTGAATATCAGGAGATATGTATGGAGGCACACTACAAGCGTTGAAGAACTTTGAACTCATCTTTATTCATACTCGAAGTCAAGAAACACAATAATAATGTAAAATACAATTACTGGGTTATGGGAGGCTATCGTGATAACATTAACGATGTGAAACGTAATATCGTATCTTTACGGCACGATATCTCCAGAAATTATATTTCGGACACCCTCATAGCCGTCACGGCCAAACAGCTCCTGAGGCCGTTGCGGAGGGAGCAAGGCTGCATCTTCAGCAGAGCGGTTTGCCTGTGATGCAGTCGTTGCAAGACTGTCAGGGCTCTTGTGTCTTGCTCTGTGTGACTGCGAGAGGGTGACTGTGAACTGTGGCAGCCGATAACAAGTGGTTCAATGAGGCGGTTTGAGTGGCGGGCATTAGGAAGCTCGGCGAGTTTCCGCTGCGTTTCACCGATCTGTACCTTCAATGGGCTTGGGAAGACAAGTGTGATAGTAGGATGTACACGTGATCATTATTGATTGTAATCGTGTCGATATTCCGGTCAGAGCACTGGTAGCAGACAACGTTGGGAGCTTGGCAGCGTGCGGTAATTCTGGGCTCTCAACTGGAGTGAGTTCATGGTCTCAGTCCCGTGACCAATGACTCTTAAAAAAAAGAAACTCATATAATGTTCCAACTTGTTCCACTGTTCACTTGGCTAAACTCTACTTCTTGAGAATGTATAATATTTGTTAGACGGTCATAGGCTGATCTGTCTAACAGCGGATGGTGAAGTGCTGCTGCTGCTAGCTATGTGGACCAGCGGTGACTCGAAGTAGTGGTTCTGTGATATTCGCTTACGCTGGCCGCTCCCTAAAGCAAAGGGATTGCGCTGATCCGCGAGAGATGCGACATTATTATTCATCTCGACCGATTACAGGGATACAATTGGGAGGAAGAGACAAAAACACGTATGTAAACATTCGTATTTCCCAGGTTCATTCAATAAAAACATGTTTCTGCTTTTTTTTCCAAATCTGTCTCTTTTGTCTTTGATTCAAAGCAATATCTTTCAAATTGGTCTTAATCGTATGCATTTAGCACAATTATGATGCTTTTAGCACAATTACGTTGCTTGTTAACATAACGTGCTCTTAAACATTGTGGCAGCCTTATCTCTAAGAATGGGTAGCCTGGAGCAAGCTGATCGCATGGAGGTGGTCTCTGATGGCACGGGGATGGGATGACGAAGCTGGCACCACTGTGATCCTGGGTTTGAAGCTGGGTAGAAACCTGTAATTAAACCGGACTTAAGGGTACTGAGCTGATGGTCTGAATACACAATGACTGCAAACAACATGGGATGTTTTTGTTGTTTTAAATTAAATTTGCTTTATTTCACCCTTAACTTAAAATGTTCGATTTCATTGACAAACGAAAACCACTTGTGTTGTTGTTGGTGTCGCTGTGGGGACCGGGAGATCGATGATCGAGATGTTTAGGTTTGCTGCGTTGACGTCATTCGTGGTGATCTCTCGCCGAACAGGGTGGGCAGCGTGACGGCTGCTGCCACCTTCCACTCCTACACAAACACTAATCGCAGGCGATGGAGGAGGCCTCCTGACCGCAGACACGATATGCCAGGGCCAACCTCTCACACAGGGTGATGCACTGCCAGCTGCAGACCTGCGAACCGGGATGATTTTGCATCTCACGACAATATTATACCGATATTAAATGTAATCATATAATTGGGAGAAAAGAGGGTATAACGAAACATTTCAAAGAGGACAAGTCGATGCATAACCAAACGCTTGCCAGTCAAAGTGAACATGTACTCTTGTGAAAACAATTATGATTCGCAGTGGTGTCTTTGTGAGCTGTAAAGTTGTTCAAGTGTATTTTGTTTAAGCACGTGAGTAGTCAAGGAGACCAGGATAAGTCTCATTGGCAAGGGTCACCTGGGTCACCAACATGACAAACGGTCAAATATCATGTCAAGATATTTTGTAATTGACTAAAATAACGTCTCAACAATATGCGCACGCTCTCCGTCTTATTGTATAACCTGCAGGTGAGAGCTACAGGCGGAGTGATGGCCCTCTGACCGAGACAATCATGATGTCCGAGCACGTTGTGAGCGGCGGCCACATCAAGCGCCGCCGCGTGGACACGGGCGTCAAGAGGAGCGCCAGCGCGGGTCTCTCCTCCTTCCTCCACTCCAAGACCACGTTCGCCCGCGCGCTGAGCGTCGCTCGCAACGTTGTGCAGCCGCCCGCCTGCAACGGGGAGGGCGGCGCCAACCCTGCGCCGCCCGCACGCCGATTGCGACGAGGCGCCCTTCCCTGCGGGGGGAAACTTGGGCGCGGAGGAGCCGGCGTTCTTCGTCGAGCAAGCCAAGGAGTTCTCGCGCTATGCCGCGGTGTCGCAGCGCGAGCTCGCGGCGAGCTCGTTCGGTGGCGGCGGTGGCGCCCGCTCGCACGGGGATGGCCGCCCGACTCTCGAGCACTTTCTGGACGAGCACCTGAAGGCGAAGCGCGCCCGTGTGGAGACCATCGTGCGGGAGATGAGCGCCCTGCCCGCGCCGTCCGACAAGGTCGCGTGCGAGCAGGACGCCGCGTGCCAGCCGCAGGGGAGCGTCGGTCACGGCGGCCGCGGAAGCAAGCGGAAGCAGCGGCTCCCGCGGCAGCAGCGGCAGCTGCTGAGGACTGGGAGGCACCACGAACGGAGGCACCTCCGCCACCAGCTGAGGGAGATGCAGTGGCAGCTGCAGGAGCTGCAGGAGAAGTTCGTGAAGATCTTCGAGAGCAGCGACTCGGAGGTCGCCGAGGTCTCGGACGACGGCACTCGGTCTGCGAGCGGCTCGCCCGACGGGCGCGAGGCTCGCGACGTCGCAGATTCCCTGGCGTCGTCCGACGACTCCTCGTCGCCGCCGATCGAAGGTCCGGACGCGGAGCCCAAAACGAATCGGCCCTCGCGCGTCGACGAGGCGAACGAGCGCCCGCCCGCCGGCGGGCCCCACAAGAAAGAGACGCAGCTCGCGGAGAAGCTGAAGCAGGAGCTGAGCACCACCATGTCCCGGGTGGTGGACACGGTCGTCAAGATCTTCTCGCCCAAAACGCAAAAGCCGTCGTCGGCGCCCAGCACCCCCGAGGTGCCGGAGCCGGTCCCGGCCGTCAGCACGAGGAAAGAGAAGACGACCGCTTCCCAGCAACCGCCGCAGGGGCCGGAGAACGCACCGCCCGTCGGTCCCCTGGAATGCTTCCTGGGGCTGCCCGTCGCAGAACAGCTGGAGGCCCTGCCCCTCGTGGTTCAGAAGCTGCCACGCGAGCCGCCGCCTCAGAGCAGCGCCCAGCTGCCTCAGCAGAGCTATCGCATCCCTCCGACGGGGCTCGACCCGGTGAGCTTCTGTGGCCAGGGCTACTCCCCGTGCCTCCCGCACCCATTGATGGCCTTCCCCCTGCAGCTCACTCACCACATGGGCCCCAGGGCTCGGGACGGACTGCCCCCGGAGCTGAGGAGCATCGAGCAAGACCTGGCCAGCGCCGGCCGGGCCAAGCCGAGCCGGCACGCGGGGCCTCTTCGCTACCACATGCCCTGCTCGCCGGACATCAGCCGGACCCCATCCAAAGGGCTGCTCTTCCCGCTCGTCAAGTCGGAGGGATACAGCCTGCAGGAATATCAAGATATGTGCCACTACCAGGAAGCGACCATATCCTTTTAGAGCAAGATGCTGCGCTACTGCGTATGTTCTCACGGTTGCGCTTTCGGGTTGGTACCGCGTACAGTTCGGCACGATGTCCGACGTTTCGCTCCATGTGATGGGGAGCTCCTTTGGGAGCTGCTTTCTTTAATTTAGTTCCTGGAGAAGCTCCCGGTATGTGGAATACAATGGCAACTCGAGATCATATCGAAGAGCGAATAGCGCGGGGTGTCTCCTGGAGTGTGGTCAGTAGCTAGGAAGTGAGGAATGTGTCGGATCTGTCGTGTGTATAGTCTTCTGTGTGATTTGGTTTCTTTTCAGAGAAAGGAAAGAAAAACAAAGCGATGAATTACAGCTGAGTTATCTATCACCAAATGTCAACATTGTTGTAATGTGACATCGGAAAGCCTGTGCATTCATTTAGAGTCTGCTTAAAAATACGTATTGTAGGTACCAGATACAATATTAACTGAATACATTGTTGTGATAAATATAAACACACACTGCAAGAACAATATATCTTAATGTGTTAATAATTGCACTTAGGATATTACTTTACAATTATGTAAATACTAAAAAACATATGTTGATATGCATAATTTATTTACAAACGTTTATCCAAAATTGTACACGTTACTTTAGAAAATAAACATTTGTGAGATGCAGTCGAGTTTAAATGTGAACTATTGCAAACCGCTGAGATGCGACATCTAATTATAAAGCATGTAACATTTACATCTGACATACAACCATATATTTTATTTAAATGATCGAAATTAGGTTGCGATGACAATATAACAGTTGGCAGAAATTGAGGCCAATTGCACACCTTGGGGTGCCAATATACATACATTTTCTAGATGTTAAATGAAAGTATCGGCAGGAGTCACAGGAGTTACGTTCATTTTAAGCAGCGACAGGAGTTTTTGTAGCGTTAGCAGCAGTGGCCTTATCTTAGCACTGCTCATGGCAGGAGAGTTTTGACAATTAGTACTATTTATAAACTAGATTCGAAGCTTTCATGATTGCAGGAATTACTCTTTGGTTCTTTCGGTAAAATTACGTAGAAATAAATTAAATAATAATAGAATACGACGTTTCGATTACAACACAAGCAACCATCATCAGGTACAAATGAATGAGAAAACAAACAGTAAACTTGGATATATAATGCAATACAACACAGAGAGTCGGCCAACACAACAGTCAACACCCCACCTGGTTGATTACGTTCTTCCAAAGATTGCTAAATGTGAGTCTCTCTCTGCTTGTGTGTCTGTCTGTGTGTCTTCGTGTCTACGTTTTGTCTCCCTCTCAAATTTAGCAATCTTTGGAAGAACGTAATCAACCAGGCAGGGTGTTGACTGTTATGTTAGCCGACTCTCTGTGTTGTATTGCATTATATTTCTAAGTTTACTAGGTTTGTTTTCTCTTTGATTTATACCTGATGATGGTTGCTTGTGTTGCAATCGAAACGTCGTATTCGATTATTATTTTATTTTATTTCTTTCTACGTAACTTTACCGAAAGAACCAAAGCTTTAGTACTATTTATATTTTTAATTTTTTTTAATGCTTAATTCATATTTGTTTTTTGAGTGTCATTTACTTAATTATTGCTATAAATAGGACTTAGTGCTAAACGTGATGATGCGTATAATTACTGTCCAGCGTTGTGAGATGCAATTAGCATGAATGACGCTATATAAAACTTATTTATTATTATTAAACAGGAACTGTAGATATTCTTTGGGTCTTTCGGTAAAGTCACGTAGATAGGTTCAAAAAAAATAACAAAAAACTACGACGTTTCGACACCAACCCAAGCGGTCGTCTTCAGGAAAAGAGGGTTCGCCTCTCAAGGCAAACTGCCTCTAGAGGTTTTAAATGGGCGTAGCCCAAGCGTCAGCAGCATGGGCGGGGCAGCTGATGTTAATGTGAGTGGTGGGCGGGGCAGCTGATGTGAATGTGAGTGGTGGGCGGGACAGCCGATGTGAATGTGAGTGGTGGGCGGGGCAGCTGATGTGAATGTGAGTGGTGGGCGGGGCAGCCGATGTGAATGTGAGTGGTGGGCGGGGCAGCTGATGTGAATGTGAGTGGTGGGCGGGACAGCCGATGTGAATGTGAGTGGTGGGCGGGGCAGCTGATGTGAATGTGAGTGGTGGGCGGGGCAGCTGATGTGAATGTGAGTGGTGGGCGGGGCAGCCGATGTGAATGTGAGTGGTGGGCGGGACAGCTGATGTGAATGTGAGTGGTGGGCGGGGCAGCCGATGTGAATGTGAGTGGTGGGCGGGGCAGCCGATGTGAATGTGAGTGGTGGGCGGGGCAGCTGATGTGAATGTGAGTGGTGGGCGGGGCAGCCGATGTGAATGTGAGTGGTGGGCGGGGCAGCCGATGTTAATGTGAGTGGTGGGCGGGGCAGCTGATGTTAATGTGAGTGGTGGGCGGGGCAGCTGATGTTAATGTGAGTGGTGGGCGGGGCAGCCGATGTGAATGTAAGTGGTGGGCGGGGGAGCTGATGTTCATGTGAGTGGTGGGCGGGGCAGCTGATGTTCATGTGAGTGGTGGGCGGGGCAGCTGATGTGAATGTGAGTGGTGGGCGGGGCAGCCGATGTGAATGTGAGTGGTGGGCGGGGCAGCCGATGTGAATGTCAGTGGTGGGCGGGGCAGCTGATGTTCATGTGAGTGGTGGGTGGGGCAGCCGATGTGAATGTAAGTGGTGGGCTGGGCAGCCGATGTTAATGTGAGTGGTGGGCGGGGCAGCTGATGTTAATGTGAGTGGTGGGCGGGGCAGCTGATGTTAATGTGAGTGGTGGGCGGGGCAGCCGATGTGAATGTAAGTGGTGGGCGGGGGAGCTGATGTTCATGTGAGTGGTGGGCGGGGCAGCTGATGTTCATGTGAGTGGTGGGCGGGGCAGCTGATGTGAATGTGAGTGGTGGGCGGGGCAGCCGATGTGAATGTGAGTGGTGGGCGGGGCAGCCGATGTGAATGTCAGTGGTGGGCGGGGCAGCTGATGTTCATGTGAGTGGTGGGTGGGGCAGCCGATGTGAATGTAAGTGGTGGGCTGGGCAGCCGATGTGAATGTGAGTGGTAGCCGGGGCAGCCGATGTGAATGTCAGTGGTGGTCGTAGTGGGCAACGATGGCGCTGGTGGTGGGTTTCCACCAATTAAAGGGCTGCCAAGTAATCAGTGCACCTCGCTTTACACACTCGCACTGCTGACGGTGGAGGTTGCTGTAGATGTCTCCCCGATGCATAATTGGGTCACCACCACCTGTTGTTCGGCACGATGTCCGATGTTTCGATGTACTTGCTGAGAGATTTTTTTTCTAGAATACTTTGAGGCTTGCATTGTGGCTGTCTCTGGTGTCAGCCAATCCGTTTGAAGGACGATGCATACATCATTATTAGAGCACTTTGTTTCACCACAAGCAAATGTGGTTCATGCAGTCTGAGACATCAAGAAATCGTTCGACCCCCAAATGGGATTTGAATCCGTCAACTGAATGTGGGCAGTTTAACACATAGGCGTATTATGGATGAATGTGGGCAGCTCACCCTGCCAGGTCCAACCCATATACATATATATGCAGCACACGGCATTTCAGCCATTCCCAGTCCACCAATCGATGAATGCCTCTCCACACCATTTTCAGCCATGGGGCTGTTTGACCATACCTCACCTCGCCGGTCAGCGCAGTGCGCTCGCCACTCGAGACAATAGGCCTCGTCTGAATTAACTGTGAGGAATTTTTTAAAAATATAAATAAAGTAAGATATCCAAGCCACTTATTGTAGTTGATCCGATCGTAAGTTCCCACGAAATATCAAATACACTTTAAAATTAACTACAGTGTTAATATAACAATTTTTTATACATTCAGTTGTATCATATCACGCACCTCTAGCAAACTGCCGATCTAAAAAAAAGATAAAGTTAACTTATTTTTAATCCTTTCATTTTTAACTTTTATGAATTGTGTTTTTTTTAATCCTTTAGTCTCTTTTGACATGTGATTTTAATCAAAATGTAATAATAATGATAATGCGTATATCAATTTAACACAAGTACGACTGCTTAATAACCACCGTAATTAATTCACTTTCATCTGAGCACTCTAAGATCACAACCTTGAGTGGCTCTTCGTAGACTTCTTCATTCGCGTACCCTCTGTCTGTGAGCCATCCCAGCAGTACAAACGGGGGACCACAGTACAGCCAATTGGCAGATCGCCTGTGTCGGGGTACAGGGTGGCCACTCCCCGCATCTTCCAAGGTGTCTGGACAATGTTTTATGAGTAGACTAAAGAATGCTCTCGAGAGGGGGCTCGCTAGAGGCCCTTTCACCAGCAGTGGCGTGAGCGAAGAATTGCAGGGCTGCACCTTTCCCTGTTACGACATCGTTATGACCACGATTAATTGAAGCATTCCCCTCCGGATCACAACCTCGAGCAGCTCTTCAAAGACAACACAAATGTATCCCCATAATATCTCGATGACATTCCCGTAACCTCTTTAAGAGGTTACGGGAATGTATTTTAGAAAACCGTTTCATGTTCACCGTTGTATTAGAAAAATAAAACATATACGTAGGTATACATTACTTAAGCAGATCACTTGTCAACAGGGCTTTCTGAAGCCTTAAAACTATAATGGTACCACCAATCTTGATTTGAAGCTTTCGTGACTGCAGGAATTCATACTCTTTGGTTCACAACCTTTTTTTTTCACCCCCAACATCCTCCAAACGCTTTACAAAGACAAAACCAAGACGCGTAAGCCGAGGTTCTTCCATCGCGAGCATGTAGGCACACCACGCCCGCGTCTCCTGAAAAGTCAACGCGAGAGGAGCAGCACTTCCATCACGTGACGGGGGGGGGTGTGTGACGTGGACTCGCAGTTGTCCGATGCTCGCCATGCGCGCCGTTGACATCAACCTTGCCGCTGCGTCACCAGACGACATTCGCATCCCATGTAACCTTCTCAACAATCGGCAATCACTTGCTGTA